TTAGCAGCATATTTTCCTCTCATTATGGTGGGTTCATTCAAATAACGACACCATATTGACCCAGGAGAAAGTATAGTAAAAGAGATTCAATAATGAATGCCAATAGATGGGCTGTATACATTTGCAAGTTTCTAAGCAATGGCAGGATTTTTCACACTACTGGCACATTTTATTGCATACTCTCTGAGAATGTCTGAAAGCTTCATTCAAAGATATAATGAGTAAAGGAGCCAGACTGTTCCTCAATGTGAAATCACTTTTTAATAGTATAAAATCAGAATTATCTTTATATCAGATTTTTTCACTATTATGTCAAATTAAAAGCACTGTTCAAGAATAGTGTTATTGAAATTGGCTATTAGGAGTGGTGACTGCAAAATCAAAGAGCAATTTTTTCCTGATAATATTCAGATCCCTTGGGTTTCTCATTATCTCCTTTACAGGCATTACTCGAGGGTTTCTAATTGAATTCATGACCTTGATCCACAATCACATCTGAAGCTCTCTAGGTTCACTAATAAATACTGTATTTTATCCTTATATTTATTTTTCCTTCATAGTCTTTCCTTGCTACTCTAAAGAAAGATGTTTTAAAAAGTTAATTATTAGCTAATGCAAAAATCCCCCCCATTATCGTCATATTTAATTAAGATTTTCTTTTGCATGCTGCCATCTTAACAAAGACTTTTATTTAGTATTTCAGGTCTCCTTTCTTTCATGCCACAAAAGATAAACTCACTTAGATGCACTGACAGCATCAAGACTTTGAAAATGCGTCCATCCGTTACTTTATGGGCAGGTCAGTCACTTTAATCCATCTTCTGCCCATCACTTGAATGTCAAACTCACATGTCAGAGAGTGTACTTTTCACAGCATGCAGTTTCAAAGCAAGAGCCCAATGTCTACTCATTCACAAACATGCACTGAATAGGAATTATTTTAACCAACAAGATAGCAACCATCAAGTGTTCTTACTTAGTAATGGATGATAAATATGTTATCACATTACTCTGATGACCATTCAGTACTGACTGAAGATGACAAGTTCCCACCCATCCCCAATAACTGAAAACCCCAGGTGGTTTTCAGTCTTCACATCATTGTGTGTTTTAATATTTTAATATAAGCTTTCATTTGTATTGCTTTTGAAATGCTGGTGATTCAACTGTATGTATTATTTTGTATTACTTGTTTAATTTATTCTAATCAAAGTTTTCTTGTAATGTCAAGGCACCAGAGCTCATGTTATGAGTTCATTTATGTTTAGCCTATAACTAGACAAAAACAAACAAAAAAAAAACAAAAAACAATACACAACCAAACACATCAGAATTTCTAGAGAGTGTGGATAGTTTTGGGCAGTAAAAATATCTCACTTGAAGAAAGTGGATTTTGATATCTTTACAGGGTCTAGGACTTGAGTCATAATTCCCTTGTCCTAACATTAATAGAGCAATATAAAAAAAAAGCAGAATAGGGACCAGAAGTTGTTTTTCACATTATGTCAGTTTACCGTGTCCTCTCTTTTAATTGCTAGAGACATGCATACAGAAGTCTGAGTCACCATGTTTCATCATCATTTCCCAGAGAGTAATGGAACATGCCACATTTGTGTTTTATAGTATGGGTTTTACGATTGGGGGACTCCCTGTTGCAAAATCAACCACAGATTCTGTTAATAATGATTTCAACCCAGGAATTTGTAGCCTCCTGTCTCTGGTGTAGAGTTCTGCCCCAGTCATGATTCAAGAATTAGTGATGGTCTAGTCTAGAATCACTATTATCAATACAATATGAGCAGTGTAACTAAGATATATTTTATAGCTTAAATCATAAATCCCTGTATGATTTTATCATATAGCACAAAACCACAGTTATAAGCTTTCATAATTGTAGTTCCATATCTCAAAACTCATTCCAATTTCAACGGTCCATAAAATGTCTGTGTGACAGAAATTTTCTTTGAAATAAGTATATAAGATTAAACATTTCTCTGCTTATCACAGAAAGAAAAGAGTGTTGGCCATGGTACTCACATGGTACCGTGCGGAGGTAGAGGTTGTCACGGATGATTTGCTGAAGTTCGTGGTCAACAGACCCCTTCTGAAATCGTAAGTTGAGGTAGTGACGAAGATCCTTATCAACAATTCCTCCTAAAATAATAAAGTTTCTTTGTAAAAAAAATTTGGAAAGTGTAATAAAGATACAATTTGATTCTATTACAGGTACATTCATAGCATTTAGCATTTAAAAAATGATTTCAAGTCACTTTTTTGATATCTAAGGCATTCATTACTATGATAACCATTTAGTCTAAATTCCATGTCTATACTTAGTAATTTGTATGTATCTTTATTTTTCATTTAAAGTGAAGTTTTTATACTGGTAGGGCATTAGTTACTACTGAACTATCATTTGACTATCCATAATGTTTCTCATTATAGGGTTAAAATTTCCCCATTTCCATTGCCTCCTCCCCCAAGCACTAGTAATCACCATTCTAATACTATTTCTATGAACTTGATGTCTCCAGACATCACATGTGAGAAGAATCATATAACATTTACCCTTTGTTATTGGCTTATTTACTCAGCATAACATCTTCTGATCTTGAAAAGATGTTTTTTCAGTTATTTAAGGTTACTATGGAAATAAAGTGATATAAAAAGTTAAAAGAAAAATGGCTACATAAATATTGATGATTTTCTTCCCTCCATGAAACAAACCTAAGTGATGTCTCTGTTATGTGATATATATGCAGAAATTTTAGCTAGAAATAAAGTTTCAGTGGCTTTTCTTCTTTTGACAACAAATAAATTAAATATGTTTGCCATACAGGGATATGAGATTAAAAAGCCAATGATGCAGTTCTATTTAATATTAAGTTTAAATTAATGATAAATTTATTAAATTATGAATATTCAACTTAAGATTCTTTCTAGTTCCAAACTGGAAAGAATAAATTAGATACAAAGTACTGGGGGCTCTCAAGATAGTCAGAGCTGAGTGAAGTTACTGCTTACACAAAGGCCTCAGGTTTGCTTCTCAGCATTGACATGTGGCCCACACATGGCTCACACACACTCATGTAGACACACACACACACACACACACACACACACACACATACACGCACGCACAATAAATAAATATTTAAAAAGTTAAATGGCTACAAATGTAAATGTAAACAAGAATACCATAAACTTATTTGGGATGTCCTTCTATATGCTGCAAAACTGCGTTGCTTTTATTGGTTGATAAATAAAGCTGCTTTGGCCTATGTCAGGGCAGAATATAGCTAGGTGGGAAAGCCAAACTGAATATAGAGAGAAAAAAGGCAAAGTCAGGAGTCACCAGCTGGAAGCAGAGAAAGCAAGATGAGAATGCTGTACTGAGAAAAAAGAACCAAGCTACGTGGCTAAACATAGATAAGAATTGTGGGTTAATTTTAAATGTAAGAGCTAGTTGGTAATGAGACTGAACTACCAGCCAAACACATATTAATGATGTTAAGTCTCATAGTGTTTATTTGGAAGTTGCTGGTGGGACAGAAACGTCCAGTTACACCTGGTACCCAACACAGGGCATACATATCCACATAAAGCCCGAAAAAGCTTAAAAAAAACCCAAAAGGTTCTAAACACTCAGAAACAGAGTCACACTGGGCTTCCTGGTCTCACAGTCACATGCCAGCAGATGTGCAGAGATGCATCTCCCAACAGCTGCCTGCAAGCTGGAGCTGGCCACCAGCTGCCATGAGCTAAGCAGCATGGCTGGCTTCCACAGTCTCACACAGGCCTCCTTACAGAGAGGCTAATAAACCACATGCTGTATGGCTTGATTTAGTTTTTAGTCATAGATACAAAAGAGTTTTGTGGGCCGACTGCATGCTACCTGATGGCAGCATGAACTACAGAGTTGTGGGAGGGTAAGCACGACTCTGGTACCCTGCCACTATGTTGGGAAGCCAAGCAAAGTAGAATCAGTACCAAAGCTGCCACCTTGGTCCTAGCCATGTCCATTTAACAATTTAAAGCATTAGTCAAAAATGATTACAGATACACAATAAGGACAAATTCAGATTTAAAAAAAAAAGGGCCTCTAAACAGGTCACAGTGTGTTTGGTAAGTATGCATGTGCTTAAGAGTGAGAGAGTAGAGGACAGACAGAGTCATATAAAAATTAAAATAATTTAAGGATAATAAGCTGAGGTCTTTAAAGGGCCATGCAAAGATGGAAAATAAATAGTCTGTATTATGTATATTATTGTGTTTTCTTTGAATTTTTTTACTGTTAATAAGCTAACTGCAGAGAGACATTTGATTTGGGGGGGCTGCTTAGCTAAATGAACATATACATTTTAAAGGTATCTTGATTTTGAAATTTGGGCCTAACGATGTGTTACTTTGGAAAAGAGGTTCTGCTTTTGTTTCCGCAGAAGATGAGAAGCTGTGGATTCCTTCCAGGTTAATGTGGTTTGATCAAATAAGATCCAACAGTCTCCAATAGGAGTGATGGCACAGGTGATCCAACAATCAAAACAGCTTCAAGGCAACTGGTTGAGACAATGCAGCTGCACAGATTACTACCACCAAGATTTAACCATATTTCTAAAATGTGTCAGGATTCCTATAAGATTATTAGTGCTCCCAATCAGCAGGGAGTAGTATAGAAAACTACACCCAAATTCCCAAAAATATTGTTTATAAATGTTTGTTTTCACTTAAAGGGGGTTGTTTAAAAATAATTAATATTCATAGTCAATCTCTTTCTAAAGACAAAAAGGGGATATGACAGAAATGAATACACTGGTATAGATTTGGTTTATTGATACAAATTTAAGATCAATTTCATATACTCTGTGTATATCTCTACTCTTGTTGAAGGTATTATGTTTATACAGTTCATTTAGAAATACAGGGCACATTAAGAAATACAAATTAATAGTTATCTATAATAGTCAAACTTATAGTCATGTTATTTACATTTCTTAGATATTTCAGATGGATAAGTAATCTTCAAACATTTCACAGACCTACAGAATATGGCATTTAAAATGTTTTAAAACAGACTTTTCTACACAGTGAGACACATTTGTTCCTGGCAGTACCAATTACTTCAAGAGGATGATGGCCATCAAAAAAGCTCCTCATGGAATTTGCTTTCAACATATCAAGGCTAGCCATTTGGGCAAGAAGCTGCTCTTGACTGGACAGCTTGAGTGTATGCTATATAAGCTGGACACGCAGGACCCACAGAAAAGTGAGTGCTGAACTTGTCAAAACCAGATGGGACGTCCTTCAGGGTTCCTGCTTCATGGAAGAGTGTGGCAGACATCCTGCAGTACACGGAGAAAAATGACTGACAAACTGCCAATACAGGAGGACAGTTTCAAATTGCCTACTTCACTTAGAAGTCTTCCAGACACTCTAGGACTATAAGCTGAGGATGAATGGCCCAACATTACAGACAAGCTTTGGGTAACTGTCCAGTCAACCAGAGTCTCCATCATTTCTGGATTTTGGAAGTTGTTTGCAATGCACTTCCTGTTTACTTCGGTATTATAATATTCTTCTGGGATCTTTGATAGAGTTGAAGACCAGATAGTTATAATTATAGTTTTCCTTAGTTATGATAAAAGATAAATTAGATATAAAATTTTAGATTCACAAAGATAGAATATATGATAATTTATTTTCTTTAATTTTGACAGAGACAAATAGAATAATTATTATAACTATAATTCTTGCTTGGTACCTGTTTTGTTATATTGGAATTTACAATGTTAAAGTTAAAACCTGCCTTTCTAATTGGACAGAAAAGGGGAAATGATGTGGCATGTCCTTCTGTGTGCTACAAATATGTGTTGCTTTCATTGGTTGATGAATAAAGCTGCTTTGGCCTATGACAGGTCAGAATATAGCAAGGCAGGAAAGCCAAACTGAATACAGAGAGAAAGAAGACAGAGTCAGGAATCACCAGCCAGAAGCAGAAGAAACCAAGCCAAGTGGCTGCACATAGATAAGAATTATGGGTTAATTGTAAGAGCTAGTTGGTAACAACCCTGAGCTACTGGCTGAGTATATCAAGTCTCCATGTGTTTATTTGTAAGGTGTGAGTAGGACAGAAGCTTTCAGTTATAATAAACTCTCATTTTTTCAAGCAATAATATTAAGGTAAGTGAAGTGTGACTGCTGTTCTTGGTTGGCAACTTGACTACATCCAGCAGTGACTAAAACCTAAGTGACTGGATACACCTTTGAGGGTGATTTTCTGAGTTAGACCAATTGACTTGGAAGGACCTGCCCTGAATCCAGTTCTTTTGAGGTTGGAAGTCCACATTAAATGGGCTATACCTTCTGGTGGCAACACTGATAAAGGACCTGGAAGAAGGAAGCTTTTGCTGGCTTCACGGTTATTAGAGGCTGCTTTTTTTGTGATTACCAGGTATGAAGAAGACTAGCTGACACAGCCAGCCCCATGGGCTGAACAACTGCAGGCTTTTGGGATTATCTGTTAGGAGACAGCCATGGTTGAACTAGCTCTACCACAGGAAGCCAGTATAATAAATCCTCATATATATTTATATATCTAATATTTGTATTTACACATCATATAATATATGTATAGATACATATATAGTTGACAATATAGTTAAAGGTAATAAGGAACTATAGTGGCCCCCAAACATACCTTCTCCAATGCTTTGGACTCAGATTTCATGAGTCTGTACACTAGATTTGTCACATGAAACAGCGTGATATGGATGTGCAGATACGCAACACAACTACGTTCCCAACAATGTGTTTATTTACATTCATTGCAAAATTTCTCAAGTTTTCAAAGTGTGTCACTTTAGTTGCCTCCTTCTTTGTGGGAATACTCACAGTAACATGAATAGAAAATCATTTTAGGTGCTGGAGAGATGACTCAGTGGTTAAGAGCACTGACTCCTCTTCCAGAGGACCTGGGTTCAATTCCTAGCACCCACATGGCAGCTCACAATTGTCTGTAAGGATAGTTCAAGGGGAGCTAATACCTTCACACCAGTGCACATAAAATAAAGGTTCATGTAGGGAGCCGGTTCCTGCATTCTCCATTACAATAATGGTGCCTGAAGACACCAAGATGTAAATTACTTCACAGGCGCTGG